TGAATTCCAACCTTTTCTTTTTAACTGCTGACCTCAACATCCCCGGTGAAAAAGGAATCAGCAAGCTGTTGCACTATTCTGTCTTGAATGTCACCAGGGACCACGACCGTAAGATGGAGGGGTGTGATAACCACAGCGGTGGAACAAAACATGAATGAACAATTTTTCATGTTGGAGCTTTTTCGGTAATTTTTCATATGAGACCTTTTTTTATTATTAATTTATAACAATTTTTCATGTCGGAACTTTTTTCAGAAGGCTGAAGAGATACATGACAAAAAAAAATGATGATAACAACAAAGATGAAGATACTAGTCTGATTAATTCGTCAGTTAATGACAAGTCATTATGGGATATCTTTTTTCTTAGTAGTAGGCCGACCTAGAAGTAGACTGCTTGAAAAACAATTATAACAACAAAATGAAGATACTAATTCGAAAAATTTGCCGATTAATGACAATTTAAGTGTTTTTAGAAATTGAATGACCAGTGAGGAGACTGGGCCAAATATAATATTTATAATAAAAAAGATATATTTAAGAGTCCAAATAATTCGTCAAGTAATAAGAATTCAAAATGGAATCTTTAAAATAACAAAGAATAATATATTCGTCCGAATATTTTTTCAATTAATGAAAGTACTCAGAATTACACTGGAGAACGGAAGGCTGTAAAATGAAAATTAAAACTATAATTTTGAGGATACAAGTCCGAATAATTTCTTGATTAATTTATTGTTTATGTCAGAAGGTTGTTCAGTTGTGTGAAGAATGGAGAAGGGACTGTCTATAAAGTAATAATTAAAACAACGTAGATAAAGTCACTTGTCACAGTAAGTCTTTTTTTTTTTTTTTTTTAGTTTGATGCTCGGAGAACGGACTGACTAAAAATAACCACTTCAGCAACATCAAAATCAGGATACTAGTCCAAATCTACTTCTTTTATATTTCCTTTTTACGACGTGAGCGATAATAGCTCTCCATAACGTACTGCTTTTGTTAAATAACTCTTGTCCATCTGTCTATATTTCTGAGATGAGGTATTATGTACACTATTTACATCATTCGGACTATTGTTCTCATCTTTTTTGCCATATTTATTACAACATTTTGGCCCTTCAGTATCTGTCTATATTTCTGAGATGAGGTATTATGTACACTATTTACATTATTCGGACTATTGCTCTCAACTTGGTCACCATATTTATTACAACGTTTCGGCCTTTCAGTATCTGCCTATATTTCTGAGATGAGGTATTATGTACACTATTTACATTATTCGGACTATTGTCCTCATCTTTGTCGCAATATTTATTACAACGCTTCGGCCATTGTACGCTCCGGCTTTCTTCAGGTGGTTGGAATGTCGAACTGAACCCTTTATTTCGCTCACTGGCGTAGACTGTTCTAGTTCCACGTGCCATGTTTAATGGATGTCAGTTATCAGTTATCTCCTGTTAATTCCCCTCTCCAAGTTCTCCGCCGCCTTAACCAGATATTGAACTCACACTCTTTGGGTCCTGTCACTGGATCTAACCAACGCCTTTATCTACTGTGCCATGTGTCCTTGAGGACACATGGCACAGCGGATAGAGGCACGTAGCATAGTGGATTAAACATGGCACGTAGAACTAGAACAGTCTACGCCAGTGAGCGAAATAAAGGGTTCAGTTCGATATTCTAACCACCTGAAGCAGGCCGGAGCGTACAACGGTTGAAATGTTGTAATAAATATGGCGTCAAAGATGAGGACAATAGTTTGAATAATGTAAACAGTGTAACTCTTGACCCTTTACCATAATACTTTGTCCTTATTCGGCTATCCATTTACACAAACACTTTCTGTAGGTTATTTGTTGTTTCTCTTTGCTTTTCCTGCTTTCAATATGTCTTGAGAGTGTTAAATTCTCTAAACATTTGTTCTCCAAATAATTGTGTAGAAAATTTTAATTTTTTATTTTGTAAATTTTTTTTTTTGAGTAGTGGGAAGGCCGCAGAGTGGACTGGCCAAAGCTTATTGATTTTAACAAAGATGAGGTTACTATTACAACTAGTTCATTGGTTAATAACGATTCTTCATATCAATCTCATTTTCCTTTTTTGATACGATTATTCACGCAATACTAGGCTCGTGAGCTACTCAGAGTAGAGGACGACTGAATGAGGTGTAATATGAATGTGAGAGGTGGTGGTAGGAAGTGAAGATTATGAGAAGTTTTTTAATACAGGATTCGAGAGCCACTCAAGGCAGAGAGTTACTGATACGAACGAAAGAAGAGGTGGTATGAGGTTAAAGATACGGGAAAAGGAGGATAGATAGATAAATAGATACCGTAATTTCCCATGTATAATACGTCTTCATCTACGCACTCTTAAAATTGAGCTGAAAGTGTAAAAAAATGCTTCTGCCTACGCATAATACGAAACCCTTGTTTGGTAATCATACCCTATAAATTGTACCTCCCCAATTTCATTACAACCAGCGTTTCCTACTCTTATTTAAAAAAAGTATGGTTTTAAACATAGAATAATATTATTCTAATTTAGTTTTATGATAATTCTTATTTTATTTTACATTTGTAAGTATTTTTAGATACATATAATTGTATTTGACATCCTTATGGCGTCGTAATCGTCGAATGTTAGTGTCAAATTGTCGTATGTTTGTGGTGTGTCGTCATTTCGCAACTGAAATCGACCTATGAAACGGCAATGTTTTTAAAGATTTCTTTTTGTAGCTGTTAATACGCACCCCTAATTTTCCTTATTATTTTTTTGAATAAAAATGCATATTATTATTATTATTTTTTTAAGCGTTTTACCCCAAGCAAATCGGGAAGCCACTAGGACGCAAGGGGTTACAGAAAATTTGGAGCAAGATCAGATAGGAGTAATAGAGGAAAGGATGAGGAGAAGGATAGTGGATAGATCAAGGCAACTGGAGATGTCGATTGACATTACATTTGAATAGTTGGAGATTATAGCTCTCAGGGAAAATGGAATAGGGAAGGCGAGAGCGGCGAGACATGAAGCTATTGGAGTAGAAGAGACGGCTACATTTAATAGTTTCAACAGTGAAAGGGTGAGAGCGGATGCCAGCCTCGTAGGGCGCTTGAATTCATGAAGTCTGGGAACCAGCGAATGCAGCTCCTCGGAGCAATTACCATGAAAGTATTTGTAAAAAAAGACAGAGAGAGGCGACGGCGCGTCTGTGAGAGAGTGACTGTAGACAAGATGCCAGATCAGGGCCAGTTATATTGTATATCCGCCTCTAGAGCCTATCAAGAACCTAGAGGCCAACAGAAGGGGCTCCAGACCATATGGCAGCAATACTCCATTTGGGGAATTACGGTAGATAAGGATAGGTCCTTGTTCTAGACAATTCTCAAAACGTAATGATTAACGCAAAGAGGGGAAACGTCTCATAAAAACCACACGCAGTCGTTAGTTATTCAACGTCGTAATTTTACAGGCTCAGCATATCAGATTTTTTTTTGCTGAGAAAGCCATTGACGATTGCCCGAAGCGACTCCCCGCTGGCAGAAATGTGTCCGTCGTCCAAACCGTCTTTGAAGAGTTAAATGCTTCAACAGTTTGTAAATGGGATGCTCTTAAATGGCAAGCGATTTGAAGGGGAATTTATTTTGTTCTTTTTAATTCCGTCCATTGAGATAGAAGATCGGATCAGCGAAATGCTTATTAACGGCTTACCGCATACTTAATATGTCCGTACACGCGTATTACATTTCATATATTTTAGAGACGGACGGAAATCCCGCTCATCTGTCTACCTGAGATCTATTTAATCATCTCTCATCATCACACATACGCACACATGTGCAGACGTGCATGTGTATTGGGTAAGCTAAAATGTTTGTCCTGTTTTAGTTATTAGATGGCATTAGGACAGTTTAGTGTTAATAAAAAAAAGATCGCTTTTTATTGCGATGAGGATGTGCGGGTGGTTTATTGGATAGCGGCTTGGAATGAGAAATCTTAGAACAGAGTTCGATTTCTAGTTGATTTTTTTTTTTTTTTTTTAAAAAAGGAGGAATTGTTAAAGCAATATTATTCTTACAATCCAAAAATTTTTTCATCCGAAGAAGGTAGGATTGGCAGAGATTCTTCTAGTATGAGCTCTTTCCAACGAAGCACGCAAACCAGTTCCACTTGAGACCGCATGGAAATCGTATATACGATCTATCTTTGGGCACCTTGACGTGGTGTAATGGTTAGAAAGCTTGTCTTGCTAGATCAGTTACGACTGTGTAGTGAGTTCGATCCTCACTGGGTGCCCCATACTGTCGGCCTTGTGCCACATCTAAGCTGGGCTTAGAAAATCACTATACGATTTATCGTTAAAGACGGTGAAAAATGGTTGCCCCCCCACACCGTACCGCTCCAGTAAATACCTGGCTCCTCCTGCCATGCAAAAGCCAGATGTGAACAAAAATACAGTCTTGTTGCCTAAGCTGCACAATCCGCACTTTCCAGCCTCGATAGAATTCAAAAGCGTTTGCGCGTCCTTGCGGGTGATGAATTGTTTTGAACATTTCATGCTCTTTTCCCACATACGGAACAATGCTAGCCCGTCGTTGCTCTACCGATTATTTTCATGGTAGATGTTCGGGCAAATTCTTTAGTTTTACTAGTCCAGCTCTTCAGAGCTAGGACCCACCATACCACGTATCACTTATTTTCATATCCTTTATATTCCATTTGTAAGGAATAAGTTCCACTCAGAACTGTTGCAACATGAAACAGACTCCGGATAAGATGATTACCTGATCACTATTATCTTAATCTTTTCAAGTCGAGAGTCAGTCGTTAGCTATCATATATTCATAACATGCAACCCTTGATATCTCCCTATACGCTATTGCAATATTCCCATTTAGTAACCCTCTATCTTGAGTGACACTTAGGCCTTGTATTGGATGAAAAATGGTAAAAAAATAAGAAAGCGAGTATTATTTTCAAATAGGCTGATATAGGTAAACGATGAAAAGCGTCCAGAATTCGTCGACAATCGAAGTCCGGAAGCACGAGGATACATTAAGTAGGCGAATGGTTAGAACGTTCGCATTCTGAGCATGAGACCCGGGTTCGAATCTCACCATGGTTGATTTGTCAGAAAGGAGACTTCCTGATGTTATCGGACTGGAGGGGTCGATCCCAGCGTGCGGCATCTTTGGAAAGTGCCTGAAAGCCATACCACGGGTTGAACAAAACCTTGAAATTGGGTGGACGGAACTCTTGGGTGTCGTCGATAGCTGTGCTAGCACGAAGTCGCAAGTCGAGGGCTTGAGCGTGCTGGCCTTATTCACGCTAGATAACACGCTCTCTCCCAGAAACTGTAACTAAGGTCTGCTCATCATAGTTGCAGTATAAACCATAGGTAGACTCTGTGGGCGTTAAACAAACACAAATGTGCCTGAGCAAGCGTCTGCAATAGGGATTGGCTAGCCGCCCTAATAGACAGGTATCCTCGAATACGAGTGGCCAACTAGAGATTTTCCAAGCTTAGCTTAGATCTGGCACAAGGCCGAATGTATGGGGCATTCAGTGAAGATCGAACTCACTTTTCAGTAGTGACTGATGTAGAAAGACAAGCTTGCTACCCATTCCACCAAGCAGAGGTGCCCAACGAGTGACCAACTATACATACATACTTGCAGTTTGGTTGGGAAGTTTTACATCGCATTCAACGGATATTGCACTTCCAGATTACTGTTTCTTCCGGCGTTTCTCACCCGGTGCTCCCGGGCGTACGAATGCGCCCTGAAAAGTAGCCAGGTGTGCCCCAAGTTAACAGAAGACTAATTTATGAATTATTTTTATATTTAAAAAAAAATCTTTATTTTTAAAAAAGTTAGAGACACCAAAGCACATGGCTTCCATGTCTAAATCAAGTCTTCGTTGATATTCTAAGCTAGATACTACGAGGGTCATTCAATAAATAAGGTGAACGTTTCGGTATAAAGACTTCTAATACAGATAGAAGCTTATTTTTTTTCAACGTGGTCTCCCAGCACTGTCACACACTTTTCCCATCTGTGCACAAGCTTCCGTATTCCCTCAGCGTAAAATCTTTGGACTGATGTCTCAGCCAGTCGCTCACAACACTTTTGACTTCATCGTCACTTTTAAACTTCGTGCCTCTCGTGAACGTTTTCAAGGGACCAAACAGGTGAAAGTCTGAAGAGGCAAGATCTCGGCTGTAAGGGGGATGAGGGAGCAGTTCCCAGCCAAGCTCGTTGATGGTCTGCACCGTTTGGGCTGCTGTGTGAGGCCTTGCGTTGTCATGATGCAAAATGACTCCTTCTGACTGATGACCCCTGCGTTTGTTCTTCATGTCTTTCTTGACCTGCCTCAGCAGTTCACAGTAGTTGGCACTGTTCAAACTGCTTCCTTTCTCAAGGAACGAAATGGTGATTGGGCCTTGCATATTCCCAAAAACGGTGAGCATCACATTCCTCGTGGACCGCTGGGACTTGAACTTCTTCTTCGCTGGAGAACCTACGTGCTTCCACTCCATGGACTGCCGTTTGGACTCGGGCTCATAGTGCCAAACCCATGTCTCGTCCCATGTGACCACCTTCTTCAGAAACTCATCACCATCCTTCTCATAGTGGGAGAGACACTGCTGGGACAACTCGACCCTCCTCTGTTTGTGCTATGCAGTAAGCATCTTTGGCACCTACCGGCAGCTGACCTTCGAGTAGCCAAGGTCATCATGGACAATTTTGTGTGCTGTCCCAACAGATAAGCTCAAAGTCCTTGCAATGTCATCCACTGTCACCCTTGTGTCAGACTGAATGAGGTCATTGACTGATTCGATCACCTCAGGAGACCACACTTCTGTAGGCCTCCCAGGCCTGTCTTCATCCTCAATACTGCTCCGTCCTTCTTTAAACAATTTAGCCCATTTGTAGACATTTTTTTGGCTGAAACATGTAGCACCATACACAGTTGACATTGTCCTATGAATTTCAACTGGTTTGCACCCTTCAGCAACCAAAAACTTGATAACTGACCGCTGTTCAATCCTGGAGCATGCTTCTTTGTCGGCCATCTTTGTTAATCGCCAAAACTATCAAAGTTTTTTTTTTTTTAATCTGAAAAAGAAAATAAATCCATGTGAAAAAAAAGTAAAAATAAATAAATAAATGAATAAATAAAAAAAAAAAAGTAAGCTTCTATCTGTATTAGAAGTCCTTATACCGAAACATTTACCTTATTTATTGAATGACCCTCGTAATTTCCTTAAAGCAAGAAGAGGCGCTGGTTGCTACAATCGTGGCTTACAAATCAAACATTAAAAAGATGCCCATTCAGCTTATTTGGTTCTCCTTTAGAGAAGACTATCCTTCAATAGTTAATAACACATTGAATATTTTATTGCCATTTTCCACGGAATGTCACTTCGAATTAGGATTTTCTACATGCAAAGATTGATCAAATATTAAATGCATTAAAGCTTAGCATTCAAAAAAATTTCCAGTGCACATCAGGCGCAGGTTTCGCACAGTCAGTCAGTTATGTGCCATGCGGGATACACGCTTAGGCGATCATGTATCTTTCGATACATGACTGACAAGTCAGATTTTTTATCCCGCAGTAGGTTGCCATTTCTTTCCGCGGTAGACCAGTTGCTATCCAAGGCTATAGAACCCGGTCTGTTCTGCTATTTACTCATAGCTGAAGAAGAGGATTCATACTTTTCCCAAGGGTATTAGCACGTAACTGAGTGGATTCGACTGGAATTCGAACTCGGATCTCCGATGGGTACCTAGACATAATCAGCGAAATACTAACCTTGCTTATCTACTTCTATTCGTTAATGAATTAAGTCAATCTCTTTTTTGAGAAGCCAAATTTTACTGACAATATAAGACTACATTTTGACACAAATATGAGGCACCTAGTGAGGATCGTAGTCCCAACTCAGCAGTAAGGATCGACTAAGTTGATGGTACCCACTTGATGGTAATTAACCTACAGTCAGTCAGTTATATGCCATGCGTGAAACACGGGATAGGCGATCATGTATCTTTCGATACATGACTGACGAGGCAATTTTTTTCCTGCAGTAGGTTGCCATTTCTTTCTGCAGTAGGCCAGTTGCTATCCAAGGCTATAGAACCAGGTCTGACCTGCTATTTACCCATATATGGAGGGGAGAAGAAGAGGATTCATATCTTTCCCAAGGGTATTAGCACGTAAGTGAATGTAATGGATTTGACTGGAATTCGAACTCGGCTCTCCGATTCCGAACCGTTATCGATTACTCCACCGGAGCTCCTCTCCATTACTTCACAATTAAATACAGAGGGTGCGGCAGAAATACATCCCACATTTTAAACGATCTCCTGGGTCGGGCTATCAAAACAAATCACAAAACAACTTCCTTATTTAGTCTACCATCTGACCTTAAAGGTCAGCCTCTGAAGGTCTGAGCTAAAATAAACTGCTACTAAAAAAATATTTGTCTATATTTGTGAGATGAGTTATTATGTACACTATTTACATTATTAGGACTATCATCCTCATCTTTGTTGCCATATTTATCACAACGTTTCGGCCGTTGTACGCTTCGGCCTTCTTCAGGTGGTTGGAATGTTGAACTGAAACCCTTTATTTCGCTCACTGGGGTAGATTGTTCTAGTTACACGTGCCATGTTTAATGGATGTCAGTTATCAGTTATCTCCTGTTAATTACCCTCTCCAAGTCCTCCACTGCCTTAACCAGGTATTGAACTAACAACTCTTTGGGTCCCGTCACTGGACCTAACCAACGCCTTTATCCACTTTGCCATGCGTTCTTAAATGGTATATACGCTTAAATTCACCTTCATTCCTGCCGTGCACCAACGGCTTACGGGTAGAATCTCCTACTGACGCCAACTCAGCCAATATCGATTCTAGCTAGAGGCAACTGATGAGCTGTTATACAGCAAAACAGTCTGTTTGTGGACGAGAATATATATATATATATATCATCATACTTATTATAAAACGCAGGTTGTGTGTGTGTGTGTGTGTGTGTCTGTTCGTTTATATATTGGATCGGATTTCCTACATTTTTCAACCGATTTCAACAAAACTTCACAGGACTACGTAAAATTACCTTGCAGTGGTTCTGACAGCGCCAAAAATTGGAAAAACACAATTGTTTTTGCACGAAATCAATTTGAGAACACGATTAAGAGGCATCACTGTCGCCAGAATGAAATATCGAGTTATACTTATTATAAAACCCAGAGCTTTGTGTGTGTGTGTGTTCGTTTATATATGGGATTAGATTTCCTACATTTTTCAACCGATTTCAACAAAACTTCATTTTTTTTTTGGCAGGTAGTGTTTCTTATTGTCTTGCACACTTTTTTCTTTATTTTTATATTCAGAATGCTTTAAAAATTCCATTTACAAGACAATTGTTCATAATAAAATTCTATTCAATCGGTAGACTCATAACGATTGAAAACAATGTTTTTGTTTGAGTTTGGGTTTGTCCAATTCGTAAAAAAACTAATTAAGACATGCGTGTCTGTCAACCTTAAACAATAATCTTTGTCAATTTTATTTTTCCGTCTTTATGATGGTCAATACTTGATCTATCTCTTACTGTTACATCCCCGGGCAACGCCGGGCTCTACTGCTAGTATATATATATTAGTAATAGCCGTTTTTTTACAAGGAAACATTTGACATTCATTGACCGAGCAGCCAGTACTACTTTTGGATGTAGTTTATAAAATATTTCTCTTAAGTCAATTGTTAAGGAAAATATGTTTTTCGAGTTCAGTATCTGTTATCGCTCTTTACAGTATTGACGAGGGTTTTTCCTTCCTAACCTTTTATTTGAAGTAGTGGGAAATGCAAACATATTAATTATGTCATAATTTTATCTTCGAGTTACGTGTGCTGTCCATTTTAGTTGTTGCCTCTGTTGGCAATCCCCAAGGTTTCTGTTTTTTCTTGTTTTTTTTTGTACAGTTCTTTGTGAATCTGCGCCAGTCCACAATATTCAAAGAAGGATCGCATTTGCCAAGACCCTCAGGCTTTACTCGCTCAAAGCCTTTTATCACCATTGATCTTAAGAAATGGTTGCATACATCTGACAGTTTAGATATTTCTGAACCGGTTTGGTGCCGTGTCTATCATCCATATGAAAGTGTCGATTTGACAAGGCTATTTAAGATCATGACACGAGTTTTCAGGTTGATGTTTTAGTTTTGTAGCAACTTGCGGTGTTGGGAAATACTATCCCTGGCGTAGTCTATTCTATGTTCCATTTCCTTTTTTCCTATGCTATGTTATTTGATATAACCGATCCATATGCCATGTTTAGTATTTACTAATTCCACATCCTGAATCTTTATAATGGATTCAAGGTATGTGCCATAACTGCTTTCATAAACTTGGGAAAGGTATAAATCTATTTATTTTCCCACTTCCCCTCTATAGGTTGAATAAGAGGGCACACTGGAGTCTGTAGCCTTGGCTGGTAACCAGTCTTGGAGAAGAAAATTTCAGAATTCCAAAACAGAAAGGCTATTTTTGCACAAATGAGCCCAACTCGACTACGCCAGAATTTTCAACTCAGGTTGCCATTTCCCCTTTTACGAACCGATAACTTTTAAGCGAGTTGCACATTTTTGGCTCGAGATATTTGATTAACCAAGTGATGGGGCATTTTCTTTTTATTTTGCAACATGTAGCGTGTAATAACATACCAAAATATTAAGAAACTCCATCTTCACACTTGTTAGCTAATCAAATATTGGCTGACTACAAACATGATGCTCGGAGTTACTTTTATCCTTTATGTGAGCAATTTTCAATGTACATTTACTCTGTATCTATATAAGTCAACAACGTAGGTAAATTTATGGGATAATGAATCGAAAGCGTGGAGGGGAGGAGAGACAACTAAAGGAGATTAGGAATTATCTGAGTACATCGCCAACATTGCAGTAATCAATAGGGTATTTGTCAGGATTTGGACACTTTCTCTCGTTGGGAACATGGTGCTTAGTTATATGCCGTAAGTTGTTCAGTCTAATAACAGCAGCTTTACAATTTGAATCTCTCTTTCCTTCAACCTATTCCTTCCCACTTTATGTCTCTTTGTCTATCGGCCAATTTCAGTCTTTCTCTTTTTTGTCTTAGTCTATTTCTATTCATGCAACGCTATCTATCTATCTATCTATCTATCTATCTATCTATCTATCTATCTATCTATCTATCTATCTATCTATCTATCTCATTCTGTTCATATTCATATCTATCTATCTATCTATCTATCTATCTATCTATCTATCTATCTATCTATCTCATTCTGTTCATATCTATCTATCTATCTATCTATCTATCTATCTATCTATCTATCTATCTATCTATTTATCTATCTATCTATCTCATTTCGTTCATCTCTATCTCAGTTTCTTCACTCTATCTCCACACACGCACAAATATATATATACATATATATATATATATATAGTTGGCTATATATATATATATATATATATATATATATGGCTTGATAGATATAAGTGTGAATATAAACTAAATAGCAAGATATTAGCAACTATATAAGCGCGTGATAACGTACATATACAGATGAGCAAATATTTATTTAAGGTGTAGACAAAACAGTGCTCAATGTAGTTAAACAGAGCTATAAAGTATATATTAATAATTACACATATACCTACATTTGTAGTGCAACTCAGAGTTTTATGCTTACCCAGTTCATCAGGGACAAATGGTAAATAATACGGTTGGTTTTTAAGAAAATTCTGCGTCGCATGGAAGGAACGCTATATTATATGCAGATTTAAAGTTTAAGGTTGTTATATTTAATATAATATTGGGGTATGAATTCAAAATATAGTGTCTGTAGGTAGATATTTAAAAAGAAATCATGATATATGATATGAACTTATATGATATATATTTCCGTTTAAAAAAATGAGAGATGAGTAGGTATCGTGTGTGTGTGTGTGTGTGTGTGTGTGTGTTGTGAATTTGATTTGAAATTTTAATTGCTTAATCTATTCATTACCTATTTACCTATCTGATCATTATCTATCTATCTATCTATCTATCTATCTATCTAATTATTTCCATTATCTATCTATCTATCTATCTATCTATCTATCTATCTATCTATCTATCTATCTATCTATCTATCTATCTATCGCAATCTGTTCATATCTATACATCTATTCAGTTATATCTGTCATTTCAAGTCTATTTCACTGTACATACCTGTTGCAGTCTATTCGTATATATCCCTCAATCGATCTCAGTCAGTTCATATCTATCTATCTATCTATCTATCTATCTATCTATCTATCTATCTATCTATCTATCTATCTATCTATCTATCTATCTCAGCTTGCTCATTATCTATCTATCTACGCGCAAAGAGCTTAGGTTGTTCAAAATCTATCACTATTTGTCTGTTTATTCATTTATCGATATCAGTTTTTTTAATTATCTATCTCTCGATCTACACTAGGGTGAAAACGTTTTGGGATGACCATGTAAAATGATTATATACCTTTATTTAATTAAGCAGTTAAGATTGTTTAGCAATATGCTTTTAGCAGTAGTGTCTGTGGAAGTTGAGGATTGGAAAATAAGTTGTGTTTTCATAGGTGTCGTGTAACGTAAGATACATAGCTTTAATCAGCTTGAAGCTGAATAAAGGTCATGCAAGACTATTGGGTTAATGAAAGATCTGAGATGATAAAATTAGGATAATATGCAAATGTCTAAGTATGAATTGTTCGTTATTATTAACATGAGTGTAAGGTGCTTTGGCAAGTCATTGTAGTCAAACATCAGCTTGCTTTTTTTTTACACTAAAATCCTAGTTAAAATTTTTGCCGAAACAAAGATGGCGGTTAGGACTTTGAATGGTTAGATTATTCAACGAGGGATAACAAGGCGGCTGAGAATTTCAAGAAACTGGGTTCAAATCATCCGAAAGACGTTTTTCATTACCGGAAGTGTTTTAAGTGCAAAGAAACCGGAAGGTCACAAAAGTTGGACACGTGAGATAAAAGAAAGATTGTGAAAGCCTCGGGAGTCAATCGAAAATTAACAGCCAGGCAGGTGATGAGTGATTGCAGTCTTAAAAGTAAGGTTTTGGTTGATGCAGTATGCAGAGTATGACGAAAAAAAAACCTAACTTGAACAGGCGTATAATAGCAGGAAACATTATCAATAAAAAAAAACAAAAAACGTTTGAATAGAAGATTGAAGCGATCAGAAGAACATCTAACATGGGATGCAGGAAAATGGCAAAAAGTATTTTTTTAGTGATGAATATAAAATAGAATTGCATTCTAGTGGAAGAGAATATGTTAGAAGAGAAAAAAAGAAACAATGCAAGTTGCACCACAAAGTCGGTAAAAATTTAATGCTGGGCACATTTTTGCAGGATACTAGTATGTTTGGATAAAAATATTTACCATTATGCTGTAGGTATCACCACTTTTGATATAAGTGTGTGTACGTTGTATAGTAAATATTTATGCGTAGCTGGAACATTTGTCCCGCAAACAATATTAGCGGACTTATGTGAGTCCAGGTAAAAAATTATATATATAACACAAAAATTTAAAACAAACGGCAATTCTATGCATGTATTAACAAAAGTAATCGCATGTGTACCCAACTGAAATAAAAGAAAAATACATTGAAACTAGCAATAAGAAAGCGCTTGCTTGTGTGTGAAATAAACGTGTGTGATAGACACGCGTGTGTATGTGCGCTTGTGAGAGAGTTCAAAAGACAACAGAGAACCAAGGAAGCGAACGCGCCTCGTCGGCAGCGTTCTTTATTTATGTTCGATGACATCTTGAAGCAAGAGAGAGAGAGAGAGAGAGAGAGAGAACATGCTTGCCTTTTTATAGACTTAAAGAGCGCACTCTAACGAGCGTTTTTGGCAAAGCCAAGTGGAGTAACCCATACATAGTGTGTATCCGTACGACCCTAATGGGTTACAGTATTCGTGATATATTTCGTTACGTGTTTCGTGTTACAACTTTTGATATGAGCGTGTGTACGTGATATAGTAAATATTTATGTGTTCTTAGGACATTTATCCCGCAAAAAATATTGGCGGACTCAATGTGAGTCCGGGTAAAAATAAGTTCACAAAATAATGAATACAAAATAAACGACAATGCATGTTATTAACAAAAGGAATTACACGTGTATACAATTGAAATCAAAGACAGAAACATTAAAACTATATATAAGAATGTGTGTACATGTGCGTGTGTGAGAGAGTTCAAATGTGAGCAGAGGAACAGAGAAGCGAATGCGCCTCAGAGGCAGCGTGACTATCTACGTGCGACTACATCTGAAAGCTAGAGCTAAAGAAAAAGAAATACAGAATATGTTTGCCTATTTCTAGACTTAAAGAGCGCCCCCCCCAACCCAAGTAGAGGTTTTGGCAAATTCCAAGTGAGATAACTCACAATTTAATAGTGTGGAGTTGTATCAGAAGCCATGTTAGAAAAAAATTGGTAGATATTGATGGAAATCTAAACAACGAAAACTATATTACTTCACTATGGTCCAACTTCTCTCAAACGAAGATGAAGATATTTTCAGCGTGGCGGCGCACCTTACTACACATCACATGCAACAAAAAGGTTTGTTTTAGAGGAAGATATCCAACTTTTAGAATATTGGCCAGCACAAAGTCCTTATCTCAATATAATTGAACTACTGTGGTGGGAACTGAAGAAACAAATGCTCCAATGAAAGCCACGTAAAAAATTCCTAAAGAGAAAATCTGGACCTTGTTCCATTCAATGTTACATTGAATTGAACCAGTTATTTGAGCCAAAGGCGACCACACTAATTACTAACTCCATACTATGACGTTTTATACTTCCTTTAGTAATACACCTCACTTTTTTGCAAAAAAAAAAAAAATTCCTTAAATTAAGAAAAGAGCTGAAAGATTAATTTTTTGCTGGTGGTCTAGTATTTTTGCATAGTTTTTTTTTCTGCATCATTATGCTTAAGATGTTCTATCATCCATCAAAGAGCATTAATGAAAATGCAGTAACTTGCAGTATCTTTATCTAATCGAAAGAAAAGCTGACATAATACTATAAAATTGGTAAAAGATGATGGAAACCTAAACAGCGAAAAACTTTATACAGTGAAGATTGAATTTTTTTCAGCGTGGCGGTGCTCCTTGCCGCACATCAGGTACAACGAAAAGGTTTCTTGTGGATGAAAATTTTAAACTTTGGGATGAGTGAACAGCACAAAATCCTGAGCTCAATACAAGTGAATCATTGCGGTGGGAACTGAAGAAAGAAGTGTTCCAATGAAAACGGCATAATCAGTATAAGTGAATGATTGAGGTGGGAACTGAAGAAAGAAGTGTTCCAATGAAAACGACATAATCAGTATAAGTGAATCATTGAAAGGTGTTCCAATGGGAACAGTATGAAGGTGGGAAAAGAAAGTGTTCCAATGAAAAACGGTATAAGTGAAATGGGAACTGAAGAAAGAAGTTCCAATATAATCAGTGAATCATTGAGGTGGGGGAACTGAAAAGAAAGACGGTGGGTGTTCCAATGAAAACGACATAATTAGTATAAGTGAATCATTGCGGTGGGAACTGGAAGAAAACAATGAAAAAGTTCCAATAAAACGACAAAAGTATAAGTGTTCCAATGAATCATTCCAAAAACGGCATAATCAGTATAAGTGAATCATTGAGGTGGGAACTGAAGAAAGAAGTGTTCCAATGAAAATGACATAAAGTATAAGTATGCGGTGGGAACTGGAAAAAAGTGAATCTGAAGAAAAGATGTTCCAATGAAAACGACATAATCAGTATAAGTGAATCATTGCGATGGGAACTGAAGAAAGAAGTGTTCCAATGAAAACGACATAATCAGTATAAGTGAATCATTGCGGTGAAGGAACTGAAGAAAGAAGTGGGACATAATCAGTATAAGAAAAGAACTGAAGAAAGAAGTGTTCCAATGAAAACGACATAATCAGTATAAGTGAATCATTGCGGTGGGAACTGAAGAAAGAAGTGTTCCAATGAAAACGGAACTGTATAAGAATCATTGCGGTGGGAACTGAAGAAAGAAGTGTTCCAATGAAAACGACATAATCAGTATAAGTGAATCATTGCGGTGGGAACTGAAGAAAGAAGTGTTCCAATGAAAACGACATAATCAGTATAAGTGAATCATTGCGGTGGGAACTGAAGAAAGAAGTGTTCCAATGAAAACGACATAATCAGTATAAGTGAATCATTGCGGTGGGAACTGAAGAAAGAAGTGTTCCAATGAAAACGGCATAATCAGTATAAGTGAATCATTGCGGTGGGAACTGAAGAAAAGAAAGTGTTCCAATGAAAACGACATAAGTGAATCAGTATAAAGTGTTCCAATGAATAATCAGTATAAGTGAATCATTGGGAACTGAAGAAAGAAGTGTTCCAATGAAAACGACATAATCAGAAAGTGAATCATTGCGGTGGGAACTGAAGAAAGAAGTGTTCCAATGAAAACGACATAATCAGTATAAGTGAATCAGAAAGAAGTGGGAACTGAAGAAAGAAGTGTTCCAATGAAAACGACATAATCAGTATAATGAATCATTGAGGTGGGAACTGAAGAAAGAAGTGTTCCAATCATTCAGTATAAGTGAAATGCAGTTTGGAACTGAAAAGAAGTGTTCCAATGGGAACTGAAGAAAGAAGTGTTCCAATGAAAACGACATAATCAGTATAAGTGAATCATTGCGGTGGGAACTGAAGAAAGAAGTGTTCCAATGAAAACGACATAATCAGTATAAGTGAATCATTGCGGTGGGAACTGAAGAAAGACGTGTTCCAATGAAAACGACATAATTAGTATAAGTGAATCATTGCGGTGGGAACTGAAGAAAGAAGTGTTCCAATGAAAACGGCATAATCAGTATAAGTGAATCATTGAGGTGGGAACTGAAGAAAGACGTGTTCCAATGAAAACGACATAATTAGTATAAGTGAATCATTGCGGTGGGAACTGAAGAAAGAAGTGTTCCAATGAAAACGACATAATCAGTATAAGTGAATCATTGCGGTGGGAACTGAAGAAAGAAGTGTTCCAATGAAAACGACATAATCAGTATAAGTGAATCATTGCGGTGGGAACTGAAGAAAGAAGTGTTCCAATGAAAACCACATAATCAGTATGGAATCATTTGCGGTGAACTGAAGAAAGAAGTGTTCCAATGAAAACGACATAATCAGTATAAGTGAATCATTGCGGTGGGAACTGAAGAAAGAAGTGTTCCAATGAAAAACGACATAATCAGTATAAGTGAATCATTGTGGGGAACTGAAGAAAAGAAGTGTTCCAATGAAACGACATAATCAGTATAAAGTGAATCATTGA